TTCAAAAGTCGCTGTGTCAGAAAAGTTTAAAGTTTTGTAAAAACGTCATTATAAATTAAAAATTCAATTTTATTCAGATAAAATATGCAGAGATAACGAACAGCATTCGAGCTCAAAGGTTGATTAAATATTACAGAAGATGAGGAACCTCGAAAACATCAGAGGTGGAATCAGGTGTCATGGAGGAGTGAGTTAGATCATATTCTCAGTGGGAGGGGCGTGTCAAATTCGTTAGACAAGCAAAATAACACATCTGTGTTGCCATGGGTGCCGAGTTTAGGACAAAATTTGCAGAGTTATTACGTTTTTATTCTGACAACATCTATTAAGACTGTTTAATAATGGTAAATAACCGTTCACGGTAGCCTAGTGGTAGAGCGTTCGCTTCGTGATCGGGAGGCCCGGGTTCGATTCTCGTTCGCGGCGCCGCGTCAAACCTAAGACGTAAAAATAGGTAGTGACTGTTCCTTCGCCAAGCGCTCGGCATCAGAAGTGAAAGTCACGGGTCTTTCGGATATGACCTTAAAAACGTATGTCCTGTGTCACGGTAGGCGCTGGCACGATAAAGAACCCTCACTGCTCAATGGCCCTGAGTGATGAGTATAGGTCTAAATTTGAAGCCCTTCACCGGTATACCCTAACCCTAACCCTAACCCTGAGTGAAAAATTCTCAAGAGGGACGTTAAACAATATACAATCAATCAATCAATCAATAATGGTAAATTAGACACCATACATTGTATAACATTTTGACAATATCAAACATGAATATATACATGTATGTGACCTCATGTTTTCATATAAACGTGTAGTAGTGGCATGACTCTCGTTTCTCATGTGAGAGGTCTCACGGACCGTCCATTTTCTATTTTTTTAAAAATACCTTTTTATTTATACCAATGATTGTATTCAGCATGTGAAATGAAAAAAAAAATATGACGTCTGGCTTGTACAATCTCATAAAATCATCATTACAGTGTGATATGTATTCTATATCAAAAGAATCTTCTAAACACGGAATAAGCAATAGAATCTTTATATCCATATTGGCATACTTTATACATGTAAACATTTAATAATTCAACAAATTAAGATAGGGGGATCCGACCCCCACACACCTTCATCCTTCGAACTACGCATGATTAACTTTTTGCCCTAAGCGAGGGCACAGATTCTCTGAATTAGTTTGTTAGAATTGATTTTTTTTATATAAAAGCTGATTTATACATTCTCTAGAGTTATTGTCCATTTTGGTGTTGAATTAGAGTCAAGATAGAAGTCAAAGATTTAAAAGTTACCGTTTTCCCTTGAAAATATTAACAACTTCTAGGACAGTATCTGATAAATACAATTTAAGGACAGATGATACAAACAATTATTTTCTTTGGAGGATACTTTATATTATGCCACAAGTTCAGATAAATGGATTTTTCTTCGACTTTTTTCTCCAAAAAACTGGAAAATGAAATAGACTTGAAAAATATTAGAAATATTTCAATAAAATTACAAATATGGACTAAATACGAAGGTTGTCCCAAAAAGTCGTTGACAGGGAAAACAGTTTCGGTTCTCTTTGCTTAAAAGAACAAGGTACCGTATTAGCAGTAATTCGCCGAAAATAATACGATATTTTAATCTTCTTTGTACAATTTTTTGATGTTATGTTTTAAAGTAAGGAACATGCGGACTAAATTCTACAGGCAAAAAATGACGTAATTTTTAACTATGACGTCACTAATGCGCGCTAAACATGGAATGGTCGTGTAAAATCGTTAAATTATATTGAAAAATGAGTAATCTCTGCTGAAATTAGACCCTTTCACATGCAACAACCACTTTTATGCTCCGCATATAAGTTCATCATTACATATCGCAGTTACACTATTAAAATAGCTTTGGTTCTCACCTGTGATCAATATGAATTTTGCAAAAGTTAACATGCGGAAAAAATATTTTACCGACAAAATTTTCCTGATATCGATATTTATGATGCGTACACGTAATTGATACAGAATGAGATTTTCTGATTTTAAGTACCATTACTGGATATCGTAAAGTATTAATACCTATGAATATGAATAAAAAAATTAAAAACCAAAAATAAATGGTACTTAAGATTCCGCTTGTACTTATGCTGTTTGTACATCATCTGCACGTCAAGTGTATAGACTATTATGTCCGTTTGTTGTACATGTAGTATTGAACAACAGTACTAAAATATCCTAGACCTCAGTTCATTCCACAAATATAGAACAACAATATTTTTTTCTTAATTCATTAAATTTAAAGATCAATGATACAAACAAATTTTATCTTTGGAGGAGACTTAGTATCATGTCAAAAGTCTAGAAAAGTGAATATTTCTTATGATTGTTTCTCCTAAGAAATGGAAAATGAAATAGACTTGGAAAATATTGGTTATATCTCAATAGAATTATAAAAATGGATAAAACACACTCAGTAAAGGTTTACAGATGAGAATAAATTTCAGAATATGTTAACTTGGTGCTAAAAGTGTAATATAAACTTTAGAAAAATATGCCAAGCCAGGTGAATTTTATGAGGAAAAGCAAAATGGTAAAAATCAGCCCATATAATATAGGGTGATTTATGCCATTTTGCTTTTCCTAATAAAATTCACCTGGATCGGTATATATTTCTTAAGTTTATATTACAATCTTAGCATCAAGCTAAGTAAACATATTCTGAACTTTGTTTTCACCTCTAAACCTTTACTTATTGCAATTTGGCAATATTTGTTTTTTTGTTGAAATATTAATAATATTTTACAAGTGTATTACATTTTCCAGTTCTTTGGAAAAACATTCTAAGACTAATCCACTTTTATAAACTTGTAACATGATATTTAGTCTCATCCACAGATAAAATTAAAAATTTTTGTTTGTATCATCTGTCCTTAATATTGATAGTTTCTGTAGTTTTATCGCATTTTTAGAGCTTGGTTTTGTTCGTTGCTTTTTTTAAATCTATCAGTTCTTTTTAAGTAATATAGAAAAAAAGTTCAAGTTCACCCTTTTTATATATTTTTTTCTTTTTTGTTAAGCTCAGAGTATATGTTAAACTTAAATATCATATTTAATTATTTATCTATATTTTTTATAGTTTAGAAAATCGTACCGATCGTTTTCAGGAAGAGTGTATTTTAAAAATAAAAATGTTCCGATGCTAATTAAGACTGAAAAGCCTTATAAAGTTATCTTATCTTAAGGATATACATGAATAGAACAAACAAACTTTTTCAGAAATAGCAATATTTTTCATTTATTTCTTTATTCATTGAACATTTGAATTCGTGGATCTGCTCAACAAATATTGATGAAACCACATGCACAGTACAATGTATACATATTGCAGTAGGTATTCTACAAAACAAGAGATTGTGATTTTAGAACATACAATGGGGAATTTTCGTTACAAATATTGTTCCGATGAAATACACCTGCCATTTTTGTGATTTATTTTACATTGTAATTCATAAGATACACAGTGAAAAAAAGCTATAATTCTGATTTATGAAAACGGATGGATAGATCACATACGTACGAGTATATAGTGTTCTCTATCATTTCAAAGAACTATATGCGGTATATTGCATATGTTTGTCCCCACAAAAGTAAAATTTTTAAAACTTCCTGAAATGTGCTGAATTCAATAAATTGTATGAAAAATATAAATTAACACAACATATTATTGTTTCAAAGTGGTTTATTAACAATTTTTGTTTTTATGACGTCACAAACTAGTCCGATTTTATATCCTTATTTAGAAAGAGGACAAAATGGACAAAATTTCAACAATATTAGCTTTACAATTTATAGAGCGCAAGTTTGTTCAGGAACAATATTTACATATTTCATTGATATTATCATTCTACACATCACATCGAATTATTGAGCCTGAACACACATGCACTCGGTGACTTTAACTCAAAATATCGACGAAATATGTACATTTTTCCGTAGAATTCATAAAAAACTGAAAATTACGTCATGTTTTTGACGTCATTTCTCCATTAAAGTTTGACGGGGGGGGGGGGGGGGGGGGGGGGGGCAAATATTGGTTTTTATCGAATAAAGAGGTATTGGTAGCGACCACATTCATACAACTAATATATATTTGTATTATTTGAATCAAAGGCTATATATGATCATGGCAATTGTGCATATTAATTTAAACAAATATAAGATATTTGAAAACAATTCTCTAATATAAAGTTAAGAACATGCAATAAAACAAATAATCTGATCTGTAACCCCCTCCCCACTTTTTCCCATTTAATACATTACTGAAAAAGACACAAACATACTTCACGCATACAACATTTCTGATAAACCTTCATTAAAAACTTCAACTTGAAGTTGTATTTGTAAATGCAGGGAAATTATAGAAAATTAACAAATTACACAATATCATTAAAAAATATTTATCATGATTTAAGATTAATAAAATATAAAGAAAAAAAAAGAAACATAAAAATAATGAAAGATAATTTTATGAAAATGTCTATTTTTGCAACAAAACAAAATTAAAGAAATGAATTCTATACAATGTTTAACTAGCAATACTAATATGCTATAAGGTTTAATATAATTACGTTGTCCTATATTAAATAATAGGTGTTTATAATTAAGCGTTTTACAGCTACACTAGGGCCTGGAAACTATTTTTTTCATCGTTCGTTTATGCGCAATGTCAAGCGAGGGGCTTTGGTGGTACAATTAATTGGGAAGCAAGGCAATCGTCTATAATTAAAGTAAAGAAAGATGCTATGTGTTGACATTTCAAAACGATAACTGTACAGTTGTTAATTAAAATTTCGGTATGGAGGAATTAATGTTCTTGAATTTATCTTCCTTCCATATCTTACTGAGGCGCACAATTTGACAAGCATATACTATTTGAAATAGTACGAAATAACAGTGTCAAGGTCGAGACGGTAAAACAGCTCCCGGAGAGTTTTCGGTTGCATCATGGGTAAATTAAGGAGTTTCTCTAATCATCATCATGATTTCTTTAAGCGACTCGCCTCCTGTCCAGTGATACCATACAACATATCCTGGTCCCTTTTCTCCAACGTCTCCATATTTTGCGTTTAGATTTGAGTAACTACAAATATAGTACCACCAGGCACCATGACGCTCTCTTGCACAATATCGTCCAGAATAGACGACCTCACTGTCCTTAGTAGCAAATCTTTTGTTCTTGTGAATAACCCAAACTGTTACCTGTAACAGGATTTTATAATTATTTTATAACTTTTAAGAACACTGTAGATAATTATTTCTTATGTGGGGAATTTGTTGTATTGCTAATATGTGCCTATTCATGGATACCTTTATAACTTCACCTCCTTTTTAAAGACAAGACATTACATTCAGTAAAGGAATAGAAGAGGTCATTTATTTAAGTAAATAATTTATAAATAAAATTTATATCAAAAAAATAAAAATGGGCTTGATATTTCGAAAATTAAAGTGGAACTGAATGCGAGCATTTGAACTTTTCTTCTTTTTAAAGTAGACACATTATGGTTTTCTCATCAAATTGACTCAGGTACTGACATCAGTTCTTGAACACTTAAAACAATACTTTAGAACTACCAGAAAACAATTTAGAGGAATCTGGTGCCCTGACCATATCCTTGGATTTCCAAACAAATATAAAATTCCTTCCATGTATTTTTCTTAAAAAGAAAAAAAAAAACATTTATTTACCAGCTATTCCTGAATAACCAGACACCAGGAGTTTGTGGTAACTATCCTCATCCGCGATGGAAAACGTTGAGTATTGAGCAAAAACCTTTTCTCCAGTAAAACGCTGGAGCTCAATCCGTAGCGCCTGGTTCCCTTTTTTAGTCAAAGTGTGAATTGCATCGTTACCTTTTTTAATAAAAATATTTTGGTCAATATATTGAATCATGTATTAGATGTAATAAATCATTATTAACACAAATGTATTTAGATTATTAGAATATTGAGGATGTCGAATACTCAAAATTGTTTGAACAAAGGAAAATCTTGATGACTTCTGTAAACTAACTTTACTTTGCTACAAATTAATTTCGTGATTTACGGAGGTAAATTAGTTTGCATCGAAAAATATTTGCAATCAAGCCTACGATTTCTTGTTAATAGGCGTTAAGACTTTAAGGTCCGATTAGTGTCTAGAAATGATTGCAATGATGAGCTCGAGGCTCTCGCAAATCTCGCGAAAATTGTTTACACGCGAATAAAAGTTGTTTAAAACTTTACAATTATTTTTGTCGACTTATGACTCGCCATGACAATTTTATATAACAAAAAAATTATTCTTTTTTGGTTATAACAAATTAACACCATTCTTATCCATGTTTTGAAAACAAGATATAAGTAAGCTTTTAACTTATATACCTGTTAATGTTATCATATAAGTGGCATGAAGAGAGTCTTCTTCTTCCAAGGTTTAACAATGGATTTTGAAATTCATAATTACATTTTTTTTTCACGTAATTCTTCATTACAATGAAAATAAAACTTACCAATCCAATAGTTTCTGAACGGATCACCAAACCCTTCCTTATATTCTATTCATGTTCGATAGAAATCTTTAGTATTGTCCTGTCGTCGTTGAATAGCCTTCAATCAATGCATTTTTATGTTATATAAAGTTATTCCTCGACATTTAATGATGCATTAAATGTACATAATAGTTACTTTTTGAGTAAAAAGTAAAAAAATACAAAGATAATTTCTTTGTGTCGATGATATCCAAAGTATATACTTTTTTGTAAATGAATTCAAATATACATGTACATATGTTGTTTACAATTTTAAGCTATTTTAGTTGAAACTTAAATGTGTTTCATGTAGTAACATGTACCACTTTATACTATATTGGGTACAACTTTACACTTTGCCAATTTCATTTCTACACTGTGTAAGTTATATTTTTAAATTTGTAAGTTTATAGAATTTGCAACTTTATACCACATGTACAATGTATATGCTTATTACAACTTTACACCATGTTAGCTACAACCTACTTAAGGAATTGTGTTCATACAATGTTAATTCAAGGGACGTCATTTGGAAAATTTGTAAAATGACGTATGTTATTCTGAAGAAAAAACTCTACATTTTGTTTGTAACGTTTTTAACAATTTTATATGTTCTTTAGACTTAAAACAACTTAAGGTTAGGTTTGTTACAAATTTACACTACTGTGCATAATTGCTCGTATGTTAGTTCCACTATGTTAGTTCCACTATGTCAGTTACACTATGTTAGTTCCACTATGTTAGTTACACTAAGTCAGTTACGCTATGTTAGTTATACTATGTCAGTTACACTATGTTAGTTACACTATGTTAGTTACACTATGTTAGTTTCACTATTTAGCTACAGTATGTCAGTTACACTATGTTAGTTACACTATGTTAGTTTCACTATTTAGCTACAGTTTGTCAGTTACACTATGTTAGTTAGCCTATGTTAGTTTCACTATTTAGCTACAGTATGTCAGTTACACTATGTTAGTTACACTATGTTAGTTACTTACTGTCCAGCCTCCCCCGTCAGTGCTCATGTCACAATACACAGCTTTCACTTCAGATGCTACATATATCTGATATACCCCATCTCTTCCTCTTAAATTTGAATCTTCTCGTAGATGATCTAAGCAAGTCTCTGTTAAATTTAATTTATAGAGATGACAATATCTAGATCTTTTACAGATAATTATACTTTTTTTCTGCATAAGTATCTAAAAATTTAGGCTAAATTTCGAATAAATTCCCAAGCACTTTATAAAAAAACAATTCCAAGCAAAGTTATTGTTTTCAGCAGCGCATAATCGCTATACAGGAAGTATAATAGCGAATATTATTTCAATACATTTTTTTCATCACTTCTGTGCAATTTGTGTAATATGTATCTTAATCCATTGCATATTTTAAGTAGATGTAATTATTGATGATGTTAAAGTGATTTTTAACTTAGAGGTATTATCTTTTTGCCATTTACCTTTTAACGCAAATAGTCACTTGGAGGTTTTTTTTATTAAATATATATACATTTGTGGTATCTCTCTATTATGTAAACATACGGAGAACAAATATCTTCAATTCCGTATGAAGTTTGTCGGAGGTCAGAGGTCAATACGTGACCTAATCACACGGCGCAATAATATCTACTGGTGCAAAAATATAAAATGACTTGCTGTACTTGATTTTCGTGTATAAAAATGAACAAAATATGCAAGTAAAATAATAATTATTTTATTAACAATGTTAACATTTATTTTATAAAGTTTTTTGGCTATCGATTTAACCTGTGCATACATGTAGAATATACCTAGGCCTAGCTTTTGTTTACAAGTTTATGTCACTTTTTTCAGCCGTACGGTCTCTAACGTTTATCCTTATTTTTTGATAAACTTTTAGTTAAATCTTCATGATAAACTACAATTTTTTCATCAAATTCTACTCACGATAAATGTGTAAATCTGTTAATAATATCAAAACATTGCAATCACGCAACGAACAGCTGACAAACACCTCGATGCTGCCGTAGTTCAAACTTCAATGTAAGTTTTCGCTAGTGTCCCGTGTTTTGTTTACACCATAAATATGACTTTAGTTAGTGAAATCATGGATTAAATGTTTTTAATCTTAATTACTTGCTTGCAAATTAACTGGCACTGTCAAGTGTTTCCATCCAGCGGATCATCCATCCTTTTCTGGCGACCAAATCTCCTCCAACTTTTTATCATCGATCTTCGGACGTGTTTATTGTGTCTTTTCAGTATTAATTATCAATTTTCACGAATATAAATATTCCCAGACAACAACTTGTTCACTATTACTGATCACAAGTAGCCTTTCACAAAATATTCCCTTAGAAATAAAATCCTTGCCAGCTGAATTCGAAACATAACCGCCATTCAAGCCGATGTACGCCTTATACGCCGACGGTGAAAATGTTGCCCGAGGCCGCAACCTTCAGGTTTAACAAATCATATGTTGCCCTCATACCCAGTGTATATGATTGCCCTGTTCACACGACAAGTTTGATTCGCAGTAAATTAATGCGAAGTAAACTAATGCGAATCAAAATAATGCGAATTAAATTGCGTTCACACGACAGCTAATACGAAATATTTACATTTGCTGTGTATATTTCTACTAAGCCAACTGTGAAATTGATTTGAAAGTTATTTTTGTGTATACTCACGCGTAGAAATATACACGGGGAAACGTGCGTTAAAGTGACGTCACAATGAGGCAGTATATCGACGTTAGTAAAAATGAAGCGATATAGGGCAGCGACAAATTCAATATTTAGTATATTTTAGTTCCCTTCAAACATGTAAAATGTAAATATAAGGAATGTTTGTAAGTTTTGTGTGAATTATTGGTGTGTGAATCACTCAGACTTGCACGTAGGCATATTTTACATGAAGCGCTAACGCGCTTCATTAAATATGCCTACGTGACAAGTCTGTGTGATTCACACACCAATAACTCACACAAAACTTAAAAACATTCCTTAAGTAAACTAATGCGAATTAAAATTCTACTTCTACGGCCAGGCGTCAGTAAGGGCTATTATGACGTCATTTGCAAATCACGTCACCTTATGCAGGAGCAGATGCATATTTGACATAATGTTACAGTGTCTGTACACACATTTTAGTGATTAACCCAATTTTCCTTAGTTTTTCACTCAAGAATGGCATAAATTTGACCAAGGAAATGTGGCATTTGACCCAATTTTGCCATAAGACATGCCTCAAAATTTTATTCGAATTAGCTTCGCTTAGCGTTCACACGGAGCTAATGCGAAGTAATTTACTGCTCAGTAAACTAATTTGAATTAAACTAATTCGCATTAAATTCTCCGTGTGAACGCTAAGCGAAGCTAATTCGCAGTAACTTTACGTTTAATTCGAATTAAACACTCCCTAAGAACAGGGCATTAGTTTAGATGAATTAAGTTGAAAACTTTTTTCTGTAAAACTACATGTATAAGCATGATCGCGAAAGCTTCTCCGCTTTCCCCTTAGTCTCTAACCATATACATATCCCCTTCCCTTTTCAAGATTCCCATATCCGTCACTGATATGTGTGCATGGATGTTCAATTGGATTAGATGAGGGACTGGTAGATTTTTGCAAAAGAATTCTGGCCCTGACCTGGAAAGGTTGAAAAAATGACTAATTCCAGAGACGTAGCATCTTGTGTGACAATTTTGATGTTTTACTACTTTCCTCTTTTTTTTTTTTGACAATATAAAGCACTGACATAAAGGTAAGATATAGCATTTAAAACAAAAGATATTTGAGATTCATTACCCCTGCATATTCTGTTGAAAATATATGTTCACCTCACACCATGATGCTCTCGCAGTAAAATAATTAAATAAATCCATATTAATTAACATACAAATTATTAATCAGTTAACGTTCTACTTTCCCATTTTTCCGTTCGCTCACCGTTCATTCACCGTTCGTTCAGCGTTCGTTCACCGTTCGTTCAGCGTGCGTTCACCGTTCGCTCTTCGTTCACAGTATTGCGTTCACCGTTCACCGTGCGCTCGCGTTCACCGTTCACAAAACGTTCACCGTTCGCTCTTCGTTCCGTTTACTTTGCGTTCACCTTGCGTTCACCGTTCACTTATCGTTCAGTCTTCATTGTCATTCGGAACTCCGAAGTGAAAGGACTTATCTTTTTGATGGTAAGGATTTGCATGTTTTTTAATTAAATAACTTAGATATCGTGTTTAAAGAATAATTATTTCATTGCAAAAATTATCCATGATATTTATATTTCTATTATTATAACTCAGCTGTTACTTATTTCGTGAATTTTCCCTGGAAAATAATTAATACATTAAATACCTACATGTATGTAGAACGATGCTAAAATATTAAATTCAAAAAAG